ACTTGTTATAATAAAGAAAGTTCGTTTATTTATATATTGTATTTGTATTTTATATGTTTATGGACTTCATGAATTGATGGATATTGAAAGATACAGGACTTGGGTTTCAAATTTAATTAAATTGGTGTTTGGGTTCAATCATCAATGAAAGTAATTGGGTCCAATGATAAACATAACAATAATTATTTAAACATATTATATTAAAGGATATGATGATGTCACCGATCCAACCTGTGACTCAGATAGTAAAACGGGTTACCCTTCTATCCGGATTTTAAAACAGTGCACATAACTTGTGAAACAAAATCTTATTACAAATCATTCCAACAAAGTTACTAACATTCAAAATACAACTGCGAGCCATGGAGAAAATTTTCAACTTCTTCTTCAAAAGACACCCCTTATATATGAATGGGTAATGATATTTGCACAAACTCTTTGTACAAAGAGAGTTTATACAAACTTATGTGGCATACCATGTGAGTGTCACGTGACATGAGGGCTCACAAAACATTAATATAATATTAAGTTACGTGGGTTTCAATACCATATGACATGTTTTGTAATGTGTCACATAAGTTTGTACAAAAACTTTGTACAAATAGGATTACCCTATATAAATTTCTAAACGCAATAGAAAACCCTATATTTCATGTGGGCCTATTTAGTATTCAAAGATAATGAGACACCGCTTACAAATTTTATATTTTACATTTAAAAAAAAAAAAAGATATTCTGGTGTGGCATAAGTCAGGCCTCATCAAGTAAATTAGGTGCACTATGATTCTACAAGGGCGGCGTAATTGACTAAAAAATAGATTTTCTTGAAAGGCAGAAATCTTTGATATATAGCTTTGGATATAATTAATCAAAACCAAAACGAATCAATTAAGACTCTACAAAGGTTGGCAATTCTTTTGACTAGTTTATTGTCTTACAGTTTAGTAAGTTAGGTAAGGTGGAATTTAAAAAATCAAAACGATTAGTTTGCGATTCGCATTATATGGACTCAAAAACTATAATATAAGTCATGTATTATGAATTTTAATAATGCATGCTTTTAACAACTCATTACCAAATCCCCTTTTTGAATTCATAGTCTAAATATATATAGATGATAACAATTTTCTTGATATTAACTACTACAATTTTTAATACGTGGATTGTGCTAACCTAATCCCTGGTGATGATGATGTTCGTTATCCACTATTAGGTGGCATGTGCAAATCATTTTATTTTATTTTTTAAAATGGGGAAAAGTATTAGACATGAAACAAATGGTGAATTTTTTATCTTTGGTTCGAAGTTTGCACATGGTCTCCGGCTTAAGCTTATGTTTCAATAGAATTGGCTCATAATAATAGCTAGCTTGCTTCGGCAACTTTATATTGCTATAATTTTACACTTTTTTGAAGATAAACGCACTCTGAGTCAAGGGCGTAGATTGGATTTCTAGTAAGTGGAATTAAAAGATTTAAATTGATAAAAACAACAATATAAATCTCGATCTTTCATCAATTAAGAAAAAAGAATAGATTTTTAAACAAAATAATTTAATAATAAAAAAAAAGCATCATCTCACCTTCGGACCTTAAAAAAAAGTAGTTTTTTTTATTAATCCAACTAAAGAAAGAAGAAAAAAAGTTAGAGAGAAGTTGAGAAAGAGAGAAAACGTGAAAAAAATATGATTATTTTTGAATTTCAAAATCAATAAAATATGGAAATATCTTCATAAGGTCAATAAAATATGAGTAATTTTAGTAGGGTAAATATAAATTTTTGTGAAGTCAAAATTGTTAATTGCTATAAAAAAAATATATATATATATATAACTATTTTAAATAATGTCAGTGGGGTCACTTGACCCCACTCAGCATACTTTGGCTTCGCCCCTCAGAGTTTCTATAGAGCGACTCCTTCAGAAAGCTTATAAGCCAGCTAAGAAAAAAGGCCAAAAATTTCTTAGTGAGTTAGGTAGTGGACAGACAGAAAAGATGAACCCAGATAACAACTACTTTGTTATGGTATTAGTTATATGGCGGACAGAAATCGAGTAACTTTAAACAAATAAGAATTAAGAAGGTGGAGAGGTGGCTTTTTTTATGTCAACTCATACACAGACGCCTATACTCTTATCTATATATTATGTAACTAACTAACTCGCTAAAAGGCATTGTGCTACTTCTCCTTTCTCCTTTTCTTTGTTTTCTTCATTAAGTTACAGGCAGGTTTTAATTGCGATGGCCATGGCGACTGCTTTTCTCATTCTTCTTCTAGCCACTCCCGCCGTCTATGCAGTGGATTACACTGTTGGTGACACCAGTGGATGGACATCAGGTTTTGATTACACAACTTGGGTTTCTGGTAAAACATTCAAAGTTGGTGATGCTCTAAGTAAGTTGTTAATCCATTTTTCAGTTCTTGATTATATATACGTCTTCAATTAATTGAAACCCAAAATGTATTAATGTTATTGGTAAAACAGTTTTCAATTACGGCGGTACTCACGAAGTTGATGAGGTAAAAAAAAGTGATTATGACAATTGCGTATCTAGCAATGCCATTGACAGTCACGACGATGGAAACACAAGAATAAACCTAACAACCGTTGGAACAAAGTACTTCATCTGCCCAACTGCCGGTCATTGTACTGGTGGCATGAAATTGGCCGTCACTGTTGCTGCATCATCAGGCACCACGCCCAACACCCCAGCCACTGGCTCACCGCCTACTGCTGGTACTCCATCCAACACCACCACCCCTTCCTCTGGTGTACCTTCACCACCATCATCGTCTAGTGCAGCTTCTACCACTTTGTGTAATATGATGCTTGTGATTGCTTCACTTGTTGGAGTTGCCTTTACGGGCTAGGGGAGAGGCAGTGCTATTGTTTTTCTTTACGGTTGTTTTATTGTGGAAATTGGGTGAATTTTATGAATGAGAGGTGTAGATTTGTATTTATTTCACCGTATCAATAACTGGTTTTTGCTACGGATGAAGACTATTGAGTTCAAATGTATCCGTTATATTTAGTTCTAATAAATTTGATTGAATTCATATATTAAAAACTCAATAGATTGGTTTATCTATTTTTCTTGAACTAAAATTTAATGTACCAACAAAGAATTGGATTGAGTTTTGATAGCCCATATTGTGAAGACGAATCAAAGATTGTGTGAAAAGACATACAGTTTCAGGTTCGATTCTCCATCTAAGTAAGAGAAATACTAGTTTTGGTATTGTTCCGAGAACATAAGAGAATTCATTTCATATTCACTAAGATGAATTTTGTCATATTCAACCCAACTCAAAGCAGTAAGAGTCGGATGTTCTTCTAAATCCGTAACAATTTACAAAGATACAAAATGATCAAGAGAATGTGAAACTATGACTTACAAATTTCTTTAATCAGCAAAAGCAACCTCCGGAGGAAATGATGACGGTCAAACATTATCAATATTATCACTCTTTTTAACTATACCCACATAGGATGTTCAGTCCAACTTGACGTATATCTCAATTAATCTTTGAAATCTATTGAATACCCTTCAAACTTAATGAATCAGATAAATCATAAATGTGATAAGCAATAAGACTTCTGGGTAACTTACCCAAATGGCTAAAGTCTTGCTTTCTGGCCACAAGACTTGTGGTTACACCCACGTTTTAATTTGAGGTTTAAAGTAATCATGGGATAAATTTTGGAGAAATGATCAATAATTTCCTCATTAATTTTGAAATGTTAAATTGATTATTAAAGCTAGCCAACTACCGCTTCCCACAGTTATCATTTCTAATTTTATTTTAAATAACGTTTTTTCGGGAGTCTGATACGACTGTATTTAGCACATATGTTATTCATACGGGCTGGCCAAAGGTGGGCTTAAGATGGGCTTTATAAAGTCCAACCCGGCCCGTTCGAAGACAGTAAAATTTAAATATCTCAAACCCTTGTCGCTTAGACGAGACTCTTCGCATCGAACTAGAGACTCATACAGAGAAGAAAACAATGGCAGGAGAAGAGGATGGAGAGTTTTACCTTCGTTATTACGTGGGACACAAGGGGAAGTTCGGTCACGAGTTCTTGGAGTTCGAGTTCCGGCCAGATGGTAAACTCCGATACGCCAATAATTCCAACTACAAGAACGACACTATGATCCGCAAAGAGGTCTTCCTCACCCCCGCCGTCCTCCGCGAGTGTCGCCGCATCATCTCCGAGAGCGAGGTTCTTTTTAATTCTCTCTCCTAGGGTTTTTATTTATTTTTACTTCATTTATTATTCTGTAATAAATTTATTTATTCTAGGGTTTCAAGTCTATTTCATTGTTATTTAAAACGGCGCGTTTTCTTCAGATAATGAAGGAAGATGATAACAACTGGCCAGAACCTGATCGTGTTGGACGACAGGAGCTTGAGATTGTGATGGGAAATGAACATATTTCCTTCACTACTTCAAAGATTGGATCTCTTGTTGATGTGCAGAGCAGTAAGGACCCTGAAGGGCTTCGCATTTTTTATTATCTTGTTCAGGTCAGTTTATCCACACGTTTTTACTCTGTATTTTTGTTGTTAATTATCTTTGATTGTAAAAGAGAAAAGATATGCTGATGGAAAGGGAAATCAATGCTGAGTTTGTTTACCCTAAAAAAGTGTAGTTTCCGGTTCAATTAAAATGTTGAACTAATTGCACATATTTGGCATTCTTCTAGAGCATTGAAGGATAGGTTCATCAAATGTATTTGTAGGAACTATTTGGATGNCAATAATTTCCTCATTAATTTTGAAATGTTAAATTGATTATTAAAGCTAGCCAACTACTACTTCCCGCAGTTATCATTTCTAATTTTATTTTAAATAACGTTTTTTCGGGAGTCTGATACTAGTGTATTTAGCACATATGTTATTCATACGGGCTGACCAAAGGTGGGCTTAAGATGGGCTTTATAAAGTCCAACCCGGCCCGTTCGAAGGCAGTAAAATTTAAATGTCTCAAACCCTTGTCGCTTAGACGAGACACTTCGCATCGAACTAGAGACATATACAGAGAAGAAAACAATGGCAGGAGAAGAGGATGGAGAGTTTTACCTTCGTTATTACGTGGGACACAAGGGGAAGTTCGGTCACGAGTTCTTGGAGTTCGAGTTCCGGCCAGATGGTAAACTCCGATACGCCAATAATTCCAACTACAAGAACGACACTATGATCCGCAAAGAGGTCTTCCTCACCCCCGCCGTCCTCCGCGAGTGTCGCCGCATCATCTCCGAGAGCGAGGTTCTTTTTAATTCTCTCGCCTAGGGTTTTTATTTATTTTTGCTTCATTTATTATTCTGTAATAAATTTATTTATTCTAGGGTTTCAAGTCTATTTCATTGTTATTTAAAACGGCGCGTTTTCTTCAGATAATGAAGGAAGATGATAACAACTGGCCAGAACCTGATCGTGTTGGACGACAGGAGCTTGAGATTGTGATGGGAAATGAACATATTTCCTTCACTACTTCAAAGATTGGATCTCTTGTTGATGTGCAGAGTAGTAAGGACCCTGAAGGGCTTCGCATTTTTTATTATCTTGTTCAGGTCAGTTTATCCACACGTTTTTACTCTGTATTTTTGTTGTTAATTATCTTTGATTGTAAAAGAGAAAAGATATGCTGATGGAAAGGGAAATCAATGCTGAGTTTGTTTACCCTAAAAAAGTGTAGTTTCCGGTTCAATTAAAATGTTGAACTAATTGCACATATTTGGCATTCTTCTAGAGCATTGAAGGATAGGTTCATCAAATGTATTTGTAGGAACTATTTGGATGAGAGAACATTCCAATATTTTTATTCTACATTTAAAATTTCTGTGTTAATACTTGCTTTATATGAATACTTAAATTTTTTTTTTTTTTTTTTTAATTTCTGTGTTAATACTTGCTTTATATGAATACTTGAATTTTTTTTTTTTTAAGCTCTCTGGGGGGCTTGCTGATCCTTGAGAATGTGTGGATTTTTTTTATCAGATGACTAAATCATGGTTCGCGTTATTGTTGCTTATTTCTTCCCCTTGATTTTGGGGTTTCCATGCTAACTTTGTGCTTCTAATAGTATAAATTCCTATACATGGGTGACATTTTTTTGCAATTTGTAGTATAGGTTTTTTGTAAAATAGCTAACTTGGTTTGAGATTAAATGGAGTGATTATTGGCAAAATTTGGCTTTTGTGTCTGGGGAAGGAGAAAGGATTTGTCCAAAGTGTATTTAGTTATAAATCTGTGCTTCTTTTTCATCTACTCCAAATATGATGTTATACATATCCTGAAATTCCCAAGCATTGGCTCATTCAAAACATTGTATTGGTGAATATTACTTTAGCACATTGGTGAGGGAAATACTTCCCTCTGCATTACATGCCCTACTTTGCTTTTGTTCTTATGACAATTATTGTGGTTGCAGGACTTGAAGTGCTTCGTATTCTCCCTCATCTCACTCCACTTCAAGATCAAGCCCATATAACAACATCATGGCTTCTGTTATACATCGACTATTTCAGGGTTTCATGTTTGTTCTTGTAGCAGCTGCTTCTGTAGTATGTAGGATTTGCCATTTGACATTTTTTTGCCTTTGTTATTATCTGAGCCTTTGTGTGGTTTATGTGAGGATCTGTGGATTTGGAATTGTTGGATGAATCGGAAATTGTTCTCAATTATGAAGGCTTCAGGTTTGGTGAATGCAAATATTAATTCTTCTTGATCTACCTATGATTTGAGATAAAAGAAAAACTTTTACTTGAAACGACCACAGTAGTTCTGACTTTTCGAATGAGGGTTCTGAGTACATTTGTTTCTTAGTTAAGTTTATTTAATGCTAAATGAGGTTGTATGTTATGGCTATTACTTGCATTAGGACTTTTAAGCCTTTTATCTTGTTTCAGGGAAAATGACAATTGGCGTTAGGAGTAAGCTCTAGTGGTATAGCTAAAGAAGTAAATATTAAAAAATCTGAGCACATAATCAACGCGAAACTATACATTCTCTTATATAGTGTAAGTGGCCCATTTTAAAACATAAGCAAATACTGTAGCGTCGGTAACTTGCATAGCCATTTCAAATTGGTATTGCCCGAATTGAAAATTCAACAAGCTTTCACTGAAAGTAAACAACAGTCCGGAATTACACTTTGCCTAATTCGATTTTGTCAGATATAGGTGAGATGTTAACAATATAAAAGTACAAATAAAGATGTTCGAGTTGAAAATTTACGCAGGCACTGGATCGGGCCACCTTCTCTTTACCTCTGATTTATATCGGACTTCCTTGAGCTTCCCATCCATCCCATAATCCCTTTCCATAACAAGGTTGATTCCCTCATCTGAATACCAACCAACACCAATGCAAAGGACACCATCCTTGCTTATGTCAACATAACCAGTCACACCTCCTGGCAGCCAAAGAACGGTCGCATCCTGCATATCTGGCATAAGCATCTCTTCCTCTCCAAAATATGCTGAATTCTCAGGCAAGCTCCTCTTCTTCAAGGTTTCAGTGCAAAGGTACACGTATGGGCTGCCATTGCTTTCTAGAGTCATCGTCTCCTCCTCACCAAACACTGGAGTGGCACTCACCTCAAATACCTTCCAAGAGCCAGTCAGCTCTGATGGCTGGGTCCGCTTCCGCTGTGAGAATGGCTTTACATCGAACTCCAGATCACTGTTTATAATTTATGAGAAAGGAAGTAAGCTAATAAAATGTTAACTGGTTAAATGATAGATCAAACGGCCAGGACATGATTTGAAGCACAAATACCTTTCGACATGAAGATTCGCAGGACTAGCCCATTGCTCTTCATAAACTGCAACTCTCATTATCTGAATGTCTGCACCCCCATTACTGAATTCTATGGTATGAACAATACGAAGTCTTTTGTGGCAACCTTTTACCAAGCACTGAGCAGACAAAGATTAAGAATTGGTCAACTAGTTTTCTTCTTTCAAGTAATTGAATGTCCAAGTCATATTTCCCCTAGTTCAACCTCAAGGAAGTGCATTCTCACATGATTTTATTAAGTAGAGTATCACTAACTCAACCAGGGCAAAGCCAATAAAATGGAATGCCCAAGAAGGTGCACCGCAAAAGCGGCAGTCTCTGGATATTACTGTTGCTCCACTCTCTTTTTCAATCGCAAGAAATAAATATATAACATTTAAAATATAATGCAGGCACTAGTATGGAGTTGTAAACTTACTTGCTCAAACTTCAACGTTGGAGAAAGGTAATATTTCGAATCATCAACTTCACCAACCGGAATATCAACTGGACCTTTGGAATAAGATCCGTCCTGTCAATCAAGGAATTGAATTATTACTGAGAAATAGCATCCAAGGATACGATTTTCAAATAAGTACTACATTCAACCATGAAAGGGGCCAATGCCTATTTGAAAAGGTTTTAGCATTCTCTCATTACCCAGAGATATGAATTTATACATTCCATGAAAAATAATTTGCGATCATAAACTAGTCAATAATGATCACTGGATTATAACGTACCTCAAAGTAAACGAGACCAGGTTCATTGCCCATGACATCTTCTTCCATCACATCACTTCTTTCAAAATTAAAAGACTCAAAACTAGGCAAAACATGATTTGTTACACTTCCATCAACAATTTCCTCGCCGAGCCCCTCTTTACTTCTATTGCCATCTCCAAGGCGCTGCAAGATTTCACCATGAGGGTTCAAAGTCACCCAATTTATTTTCCTTTGAATTTGAGATGTCTGTCCTCCAGAAGAAGATGGCATTGCCTGAACACAGGAAAGAGTATAGCAATCGTATAGGTTTTCATTCTTGTGTCCGATATCAATTGGCTCCATTTCAGCAGTGATGGGTGAAAACACTGCTCCAACCCCTTGCCATATCCCACTCACACTACTAGTAAACGTGTTCCATGCTGGTTTTATTACAGGTTCCTGAAAATGAACAAAAAAAAACATCACTCTCTTTGGTAGCCACCAAAATTCTATATACATGTGATTTAAAGTTACACTAAGGTTAGGGGACTACGGGGAAATTAGCCCATGATATCCAAGAATTACAGGCCCCAAAATTCAAGCATATCTCAAAACTGTTTCAATTCAGACTACGAATTAGACACAGTACCTGAATTTGAAGAACAGTTTCAACCTCCATTAACATGGGAGCAGATACCATAACTAGACCACTCTTATTTCTCTTCCCTTTAACCGTTGTCCTCCCTCTTCTCCTTCTCTGTTGGCTTCGCCTTCCCGACTCTTTCTCTTTGGCTTTTGCCATTTCATTGTCAATGCTCCACACATTTTTTTTCTTACCCTTAACTTCTACTCTCTCTTTGCTTCTCCTTTGGTGCTGTTGGTGAGCCTTGTTGTGGCTCTGTGTTATCAACAACAACTTTTTAGGGTTTTCTTTTATTAAATTGGACTTCAAATACCCAGTACTGGATGATGATGACAAGCTTAGAGCCTGGTGAAACCCTAGCTTAACTGTGCCGTTGAAATGGATACATGTTGATGTTGGTGATTGCATATTTGAAATTTTCAGTCTCAGAAATTCTGGATGAGATACAGAGTACTAAATTGTTCCCCGATAATTGGCCCTGGAAATTTCCAGCTCTTTCCGTAAGTATCCCTCCATTTCCTCGCTAGGAACTACCAATGATGTAGGGTAAATATGTAATTTAGGTTTGTCATTCCTGTCTGTCAGTCCTATGGGTTCCCTACACTTAAGCAATGTCAAATTTGACAAAAGTACAGTCCAGCCCAGGCAGTGGGCCTGTTTGGGTTATTCGTAAGTCCTGCAAGCTCTATATGCTTGTACCGCTGGCTCCATTGGGCCTTGCCCGTTAAAAGCCTGGCCCAGGGGGTTGGCTAGTCTGGGTTTAAAATGGACTACCATGGGTGGGCCTCTGCTAACCATAGTCCGTGTTTGTCATAAAACTTACTTGGTCTCATGTGAGCCCAAAACTGTCGTCGTTTAGAGTATTGACCACAAGCCCACCCCACTTCAATTAGTGGAACAAAATCTAAAGAAGTTTTTGGTACAGATACGAATCCTGTTCTCTTTGATTGAATATGGATGTTTCCTAAAAAGTGAAACACCTTTCTTTAGTTGTCCCACGCCATGCCAAAAGCTTTGTGTCATCTCCTTTTCAAAGTCACCCACTAAACCATTACTTCTTTCTCTTCCACTTTCATAGCCTAAACTACATTATTCAAAATATAATAATTTTATAAGATACAGGATTAAATGTATCAAGATTTGGAGAGGATCGGGTCCATGGATTATGACTCGACAAAGGTCTTGATCAAATAGAATTCCACGTTGGCAAGTAATAGAAATATACAATTGTTGGTAGGCACGTATATATTTGACGGCATCTTTTTAACTTAGACCAATGTTCCACTCTTTGTAAGTTCCAATGACTAACTTTGATAACCAAACCAAACCCCCACCTGGTGTGAGATCCGATTTGCTTATAATATTTAACTTTCCTTTCCCTTATAGTACATACCAATTAAAGTAAATGTGTGTGTTTAACCCATTCCGGTATTAGTTAAAGCTAATTAAGCTGCCAACTAAGTTCATTTATGATAGAATAATGTGATAAGATATGGTTGGGTTAGTTGGATTGGAATAACCATTATTATATAGCTTTGAAGATCATATGCCAAATTACAGAATCAAATTATAGATTTTATATTTATTATATATTAGGTTAATATTAGGTTATATTTGTTGAACTGTTAACAATTTCCATATGTATCTTGTAGGTATATTTTAAAAATAAAAAAATAAAAAAATAAAATACCGAACTTGATATTATGACTATGAATTAATTCATCCAAATTGACATTGACAATGAAGTGATCGTGTGGCTTAGTCATAAGGAAGGTGATGTTTTTGTCTATAAGCAATCTGTCCAGCAAAATCTATATATATCTATCATCATCACAGTGGACTGCTTAGTTGGAAAGAGAGAATCATACATTGCTATTGCTTTACCTAACAATATTATTCTATCTTTTTCTCTTCTTTTACCAAACGATTACTTTCCATCCACTACATTGCTTATAAAAGGTGATGGCAATGGCATGCCAAACACAAACAGCTTACCTAGTTTTAATGTGGAAAGATGGCATCTTATTTATTGATTTATTCTATGACCTCTTGTTCTTATCAATTAGAAGGCTTCTTGAATATTTCACCGTCGATTCACTTCGTAACTTCCACCACCCACTCGACTTTTAGGAGACTGCCATTTTTTTTTTTTTTTTTTGGGTGAGCGAGAGGTGTTTGAATCAATTTATGTATATCTTAGCTAATTTCTCGGAGTCTTGAAGTTGACAGCTGAGTAAATCCCCTTAATGGCCACCCCTGTTAGCAATCCAGATGAATCAAGCTCAAGATCTCTTAAGAGTCCTAATTGATCATTGGGTTGTCCAGTGGTGATTAGCCAATCATTTTTGTTATAACACGTAAATTCCACTGGGTCAACTTCTTATTCAGAGTGGAAATTAGAACAAATAATATTAATAAATATAAAAATGAAAGATTAGGTTATTATAAAGATGAACAAAGCACGAGTATTATTATTATTATTTAGTTTACGTGGAAGAAACAGTCCAATGTGAAAGTGAGCCGAGGGGGGACTTCATTTATTGGAGAGCGATGCCATGCGTGTGGACCATGACTCTTATTTGGAGCGTATTTATCATGTATCATAAGTTGCGGGAGGCAAGTACGAATGATGTTTGCTGTGGGGTCTCTCTTAAATTAACTCCTACCAATCGATCATCATGCCTTCGGTCCATGTTTGGCAACATCCCATGTGATGAGACGATGCCCTTTTCCATAAGGGTAATTCTGTCATTATGCCATATTACAATTGTCATTAATGTTTAGAAATAAATCTTAAAATAAATAATTTATCAAAAATAAAAAATATTCATAAGTTGAATGACAAAACTACCCAACAGTTATGAACGCATACTCAGGGCCTAACCTTTAACTAATAACCATCACGGCGGGCGAACTTTTCCCGTTTTCGGGCTTTTGCATTGTTGCACATGCATCGCCATCATCAATCTGTTACATACAAAAATCCCCAGCATTAATTAATTAACACTAAAATTAAACAATAGAAATTTTAAAGATTCAAGAGCGTTACCTAATTAACACCTTTTATATAATTTTAGATCCCCTCTCTCTTTCACTCAAAAACTGTCGGTCCCACATTTTATCCCCCAAAAACAAACCCAATGCCGCCACCGAACTAAAAATACAAGAGAAAGAGAGAGAGAGAGAGAGAGAGAGAGAGAGAGAGAGAGTGTGTTTGTGTGTGTGTATTGTCTCTGTAACTTCTCATGGACTTCTTGTTGTAGATCTCGAAACCCTAGCTTTATCTTTCAAAGATTCTTTACAAATTGCTTTCAAGATTCTTTCAAGAAACCACTCTTCCATTTAAATTAGCTTCATTTTCATAGCTTCCACTTCTACGCCGGCCTTCATTCAACTTGTCTTCTTTCGTTGGGAGTAAAAGTAGAATTTCTCCTTTTCGATTTTTATAGAATTTTCATTGATTTCAGATTGTTTTCCACTGGTATCGACTGTATCTACATTTTCGTTTCCGCTTCCTTGGACACCGAGTTTCTACTGTTTTTGGTGCTATTTGTGTCTAATTTTATCTGCGTTTTATTGTTTGCATTAGCTGTGAGAAATTTTAATTGTAATGTGATTAGGTTGTTTTTTTTCGCTGCGTATTTTCAGTTGTGGAGGAGCTGGTTAGTGTTTGTGAAATTATCGATGGTGATATAGAAAATCGGTTCAGAGAGAAATGGATGAAAGAGGAGGCTCATTTGTGGCTGTAAGGAGGATTTCTCAAAGTCTTGACCGTGGCAATACATGTCATTCAACTTCAGGTATTGATATTATCTGTTGCCTATCAAATTCTCCGTTGCTTTTCTCAATAACTTGTTCTATTTTCTCACTACAGTTAGCGCTTGTTTTTTGATTTGCTAAATTTGGATCTGGAGGTAACTTTTGTATGCTTAGCCTTGAGTGTTACCAAGAACTCTCGCTAAGTGCATGTTTACGGAGATTCAAATTTGTTGTGGTGGGTGAGCCTGTTGTAAACACTGATTTCCAGTTTTTTGCTTTAGAGTTTTACCTTGCTGTTGCAATATTAGCTTCATATTTTAAATTTAGAGAGAAGGATGAATTTGACAGCCACTCTGTTGTTGATAACTAAAAAGTCGTGCAACATATATTTTTATTAAACTGGAAGTGACTACTTATTCCACCATAAGAATAACTTTTAAGTCTTAAGCTTGCCTAAATTGTATGTTTAATGTTTATATTGTATGAATCATGATACAATTACTGCACACTGTAGGGGTATTAGGTTAAGGTGCTTGGTGATCATGGGGGACATGTTTGAAATTTAGGAATGTGTATACAACTGTGTATCTCCGTGAAGTGAGATAATTAGTTGGTTGTCAATTCAACATAATGAACTAAATGATGCATGACAGCTCCAACTTTGCATTTGAAGGTTTGAAATCTTCAATTTCATAATCGGATGGCTTTGTTTGTTACAGCTGAGGTTGTGGCAGGGTCAGCTGCATGGCTGGGTCGAGGTCTTTCTTGTGTTTGTGCACAGAGGAGAGAGAGTGACCCTCGTCCTTCTTTTGATCTAACCCCTGCCCAGGTAACTTTTCTCTTGATATGTTTAATTGTTTGACAGTTGTTTTCTTGTCTTTCTATTGCTCTGGTTCCTTTAACTTACCAAGTTTTTATGAAATAGATATAAGAACTTCTATTTTTGGCCAATGATTTCTTTAATTGTGTCAAGATTGAAATGAAAATAAATTTTTCTTTCCCGTCTTTATTGTGTATGAATTATTGTTCTTTAACTTACCTAGGTTCCATTATTTTCTGTCTAGCATATCCTTTAGTGGCCATTTGTGAAGTATCAAGGCCTTGGTTAGCTTTGAGTAATCTGATTAGATTGGTCTCCTTAAGAGGGGAAGTGCAATTTTAGATGGTTGAACTTATAAGTGACAGTTATTTTAACAAATTTATGGTGGGTTACGATTCTGCAAATTTCATTTGACTTTGGTCTACTGTCTGGATTTCACTTTTATTATAATATCATGTCTCCTTTTAGCGTTTGCTCATCTTTCTTGTCCAAAAAGTGTTGCAACATGCTGTGCAGTTTATGTCCTATCAACTCTAGAAAAGCAAGCCAACTTGTATTTTTAAATTTATAGGGTCCTATCTTGTTTTTTCTGAGCTTTTATATGGTTAAACATAACCTAAATGAATATATTTATTCTGGCCTCGGTGCTGTCAGGAGGAATGCTTGCAAAGGCTGCAGAATCGAATGGATGTTGCCTATGATGGTTCAATCCCTGAACACCAGGTAAGTTTCTACCTATGATTCCATGAACTCTACATATTGGTGGGAAATACTTATTTTGAAACTGTTTGACTAAATGGCAACTTATTTCACAGTTCTACATTTTTCATCATTTTTTCCCCGTGTTCATTATAAACAATTTTTCTATATGGTTGGATGATCAGTTGTTGGATTATAAGGGCTTTTTTTCTCATCATTGTATTGTACTATTGCTTTGTTGTAGGAAGCTTTGAGGGCTTTGTGGAATGTCGCTTTTCCAGAAGAAGAACTCCATGGTTTAATATCTGAGCAGTGGAAGGAAATGGGTTGGCAAGGAAAGGATCCATCAACAGATTTTAGGTAGTTAAGTAGTTTTCAATGGTTTTTTATTGCATACTCTATTGCTTTTACCATACATTCCTTTTTTATTTTATTTTATTTTTCTGTTTTTTAATATTTGGAATTTATCTGGCAGGGGTGGTGGTTTCATATCATTGGAGAATTTGTTGTTCTTTGCTAAGAATTTTCCGGTATTTCTTACCTCTTACTGTCTCTTCTCCTCACCCCATGTAGTTCTCTTCTTTCAAATATCTTGCATGCTTTGGATTTCATAGCAAATTCTATGTTTAGAAATGTATAAATTTTTCTGATGACAATTTTTTCTGATTTCTTCTAAAGTTCAATTTTATTGCACATTGATTAAGGTTTGTAGGAACCAAAAACGATTAATAATATGGGGAAAATGAAGTAGTTTTCTGTTCACAATGTGGAAAAGAGTCGTTAGTATTTCAGCAAACATGTTACCTCTCAAATGTTATGGTTTAAAAAAAAAACTTGTAGAATAAATGTAACAGGTAGTCCAAAATGGTTTATGAATTGATTGAAGAACGTTTGGTGTCTTGTGTAGCATGGCTCTTAGCTGCTTTGAATGTGATTGTTGGTATTAGCCTCAGGCAAGAGATTATGCATGTGACAGAGAGAGTGTGACCAACCATGTCTTTTCGTTTTTCAGAAGTCCTTCCAGGATCTTCTTCGGAAGCAGGAAGGTGATCGCTCAGTGTGGGAATATCCATTTGCTGTAGCTGGTGTGAACATTACATTTATGCTCATTCAGATGCTTGATCTCGAAGCAGGTTTGTATTTCTTTTTGGATTTACCGTCCAATTCTGTCTACTGCTCATGTTTTGAACAGCAAATTACCACTTTCTGAAATTGAAAGCAGAAAGTGCAGGTAGGATCCTTAAATTACAGCTTTTAGCATGTTTATGCTGAAAGTTCTAGCTGTCTGAGTTTCAATGGCTAGGTGTCTGAACGTTCTATGCATATCATTGTAGTAATTTAGATATTGCACTTCTGTTTAACTTTTACAGTCAAACCACGAACACTGGTGGGAGCAACTTTCTTGAGGTTTCTTTCAGGTAATCTTGGACTACTTGTGACCCTTATTATTATTATTATTATTATTATTTTTAAAAAGAACTAAACGAAGTTAGTATGGGGAAGAAGCTGTCTCAAATATCTCTAATAGAATCTTTTTTGCTTCTGTTCTGACAGAAAATGAATCAGCATTTGATCTTCTCTATTGCATCACATTCAAACTAATGGATCATCAATGGCTTGAGATGCGTGCATCATACATGGACTTCAATGTACGTATCCTTCAACCAGCAAGTTCCATCTAGATTTTGGTATTAAAGCGTTCCGTTTTTATGTATGGTTTATCCTTTTCATTCTTGCGGCTTAGCCAATAGGATGCAACATTAAATCAAAACACTTGAAATTGATATAGTGATCCAAGGAATTTCATTGATTCACCATATACAAATGCTCAAATATTTTTACTTTGCAGACGGTTATGAAATCCACACGGCGACAACTGGAAAGGGAGCTTCTGCTTGATGATATAACACGGTTGGAAGAGTTACCATCATACAGCCTCCTTACTTGATAGTATAGCAGTTCCAAAGATTAACAAAATGGCTTGTAGCAGCAAGACGTGCATGCCATCATTGGGCACATTCTATTCCCTTTTTGGTTCCCATTTATCTCCTAGTGCTTTTTAACTAAGTGGTTCGTTGTACATGATATGGTGATCCGTTTATAACTCTTCTTGAAGCCATGTAAGTGTATTTCCTCTTGATTTTTCAGGAAAGGGTTCTTGAGTTTCCCAAGTTTTCTGTACGGGAAAGAAAAAGAGTTATGAGGTTTGTACGGTTGAGTCCAGTGTTTAAAGTGATTGGTTGGTTTCATTCTTCGACTAGTTTTTTATTTCACCTATCTTGCGGATGGCATATTGCTCTTCTGGCTGAGATTTCTTAGAATATTTGCCACCTTGTTAAAATCAATCATTAAGCGGACAATAATCACCATCTTGTAGTCACTGTTAAAGAACCCTACCCAGTCTCGGCCGGTATTTACAAATTGTGATTATTGAGTCTTAAATCTTATGCACCTGTTGAACATAGCTTGAACTAAGCCAATAGCAATCAGATCATTGAAGTTGCTAACTTAATATTTCACGAGTGTTTTAGGCGAGGAAGTCAAAATTTACAGGTTTAGCTCGATATCTTAAATCATAGCAGTATGTATCAAGTCGACAACCGAATTTAACGTCTTTAAGAGTAGATCGTTACTTTCAAGACTCTTTTATCAATTGCTAATTTGTTAATCTGAACTGAAATTATAATGGACTGCAATAGAAACCTAAATCATTGCAGTCATAATATTGAATCCCAAGTTTCCATTTAAAACCAATCCTTTAACTTGGATATTCAGTTTAGTGTTGCTGGTATTTAATTTTGAAACTCAATCTAGTTTTAACGACGCTTAAGTACGGAAAACTTGGCATGACTATGATCGTGTGATATCGCGAGGAACTGGAGCAGAGTGCAGAAACCAAGATTGTATGCCAGAACTAACCATCAAACGCCAGGGCTATGCAGGTATTGGAACCCCTATCATCTTGACCAGAAAAGATGCAATCTAACAATATAAGATGCTTAAAATTTGCTAAAATTCATAAAATAGTCAACCAAATAGCTTAACTTATCAATAATACAGTTCGCAATTATGTGCGACTGGTTATAAAAGTAGCCACAAAACCAAGATCAAGCTAAATTTAACTCGAAATTTGATAGGAGGTTCACTAACAAGGGAACAGAGAACCGTCCAAGGAAGGACAGCTATAGCCAGTTCAATCAAACAGAAATTCATTCATAGACCCAGTGGTGAACACTACTCTGCCAGTTAACAGGGCCTTCAGGGAACCATAGTCCAATTTCCTTGGTTGCACTCTCAACTGAATCGCTTCCGTGGATGACATTCCTGCGGAGTTATTTATCAACATGACATGCTAGACTTCAAAAAAAATTACTTGCTACAAAGTCATCAAAGTCCACAAAGAAACATGCTCAAGAATCCTTAATCAAGCTCTTAAACTGTTCAATCAAAAAGTTACCTGCCAATGTCAATAGCATAATCACCACGGATGGTTCCAGGAGCAGATTCAGCAGGATTGGTTGCCCCAATGATCTTGCGGCCAGTGGTAACAACTTTCTTACCCTCCCAGATCATAGCACAAACGGGGCCAGAGATGATGTACTCAACAAGCCCACCAAAGAAGGGCTTTGAAGACAGGTCCTCGTAGTGCTTCTCAGCAAAAGAGCGTTCCACAGTCAGCAGCTTCAAACCTAAATTCATAAAATACAAACCAACCAAATCAACAAATTGTGGTTAAAATATTTGACAAACCATAAATCTCTCATACAAAATTAAAATTCAGCAGAGCAGAACAACCTTAACTATTTTCATAATCTCAAATTAAAATAGGATTCATAAGCAAAGAATAATCTGGGATTAAAATTGGAATAGATAATATCGAAACACTTTCACGTCGGCCATAAAAGTACAATAAGTAGGTGCCATGCAAATAATAATTACCAAACTAAAACTTAAAAAGAGCCTTCTCGAACAAGAATTACCTTTCAAAGTGAATCCTTTCTTTTCAAATCTGCCAATAATCTCACCAACCTGAAACATGTCAAAACTCAGTGTAATCTATCAAATCCTTCACAAAAAGAATTAAAAACCCACAAACCCCAAAAAAATTTGTTCGATTTTTGTTATAATTACCGACTTCTCATAAACTAAACAAAATCCAAACAAAACCTCACTAGAGACAAATTCAAAGACTCAAGAGACTTACCAGGCCTCTCTGGACCCCATCGGGCTTGATCATGATGAATGTTTGCTCCATTTTGATTTGATTTGATTTTTTTCTTTGCCTCTGATGCCCAGTTGTTTGAGGAGTGAGAGTTAAGTGCTGGGAGGTGGTGTGGTGTGTTGAATATATAGCAGGATTGGTTGTAACCTAACCCTAATCACCAGAGAGAATATTCGTTTTTGAACCGTCGAGTTTTTGGCCTAAAAAGTGATAAACCCGTTAACTCATAAACACGTGCCCCGTATGGTTTCGCTTTTTCATTTCTTTTTAATCATGATTTGACACCTTATCATTCTTTATCTTTGTGGGACGGAATAAAAGGTCAGTTGAACGTTACTGGAGAATATTTTTGATTACTTCCGATAAATTATCGGGTAATATGTTTAGTTGGGGGTGATAAATGATGAGTATATTATATAGGTATTAAATTGTTTTTTTTTTTAATATTAATATAATAATGTTTAGAATTTTTTTTTTTTTTTAAAGTATGGATGGGCCGTCCAAACGTAAGGGACGGTCATCCAAAATTTATGGACAGTCATCCCCAAAGTTTTTTTTTTTAATTTTCATATTTTGGTTAAGGACGGACGTCCTTTATTTGCGGATGCCTGTCAAAAATAAAGGAACGGCCGTCCATAACGGATGAACGGTTCGTCCCTAATGTTTATAAAATTTTGTTATTGCATTTTATTTATGGACGGGCGTCCTTTAAATGAAGACACCCGTCCGTCGTATATGGACCCCCGTCCATATTGAGTGAACGACCATCCATATTTGATGGACGGCCATTCACTAAAAAAATATTTATAGAAAAATCAGGTGTCTGGACTGTTGGTGTGAGTCAAGGGTACACGTAGGCTGGTACACATTTTCGGTGTCCGTAGCTTTATTGGATAAATAGATGAGTATATTATATAGATACTAAATTGTTTTTTTTTTTTTTAATATTAACATAATAATGTTTTTTTAATTATTTTTTAAATAATCTTTTTTAAACCCTTACTTTTCAGATTTAACAAAAACACCATAGCAATAAAAAACTTAATAAAAACACCCCTACCTACCCAACCCACTACCAGCAGCTAGCCACCACCGCTGATGGCAGTGCCACAGATCTGGCCATGACACTGACAATGCCACAAATGCCATGAAATGGCTAAGTCTTTGGCTGTGAAACAGCAAGATTTGGCATTTTTTGACCATGGATACAGATTCATGGTTGGAAAAAGCCTCATTAGCACACGAATTGTCATATATGGCCGGTCGTACGCTATTATGGTGACTTTTGGAAGCCTCTGACGGTGGTCGACGGTGGCTGATGGTGGTGGCTAGTTCTAGCCTTTCTAGGTATAATGACATTTTTGTAAATAATGATAATAATAAGGGCAATATCATTCAAAAAAATTTAAAAATGAGGACAAAATTGTCTCTATTAGTGAATTGAGTGTTTTGTAAATGTTAAGAAATATAAGACTAATTTGAATTAAATGCTCAACTGTTTATGAGCAACATGGGAAACAAAATTGTATTACCAAGAGTAAGTTTTAATAAAAGCGCCCCCCCCCCCCCGCGGGGGTATTAAGGGGGGTATTAAGATTCCTGGTAATATACCCCCCACATGCTACTGTTTGTCATAAAATATTTCGAGAATAATTGTTTACAAACTAACTAAACATCGTCATCAACTCAATTTAAAAAAAATATTACCCCAGTTATCTAATATTAACCCCATCCAAACAGCCGTTGTGGCATATATTTTTTTAACAGGGTGTTCGAAACTCGAATAGTTTAGGCGTACCACAATTAATTTTGGGTTCCATTGAACACTTTATAAGCTTAATAAAGAGTAAACGACTTTCTCCTACATAAATAGTAGTTTAATGACACTTTTCTATCTACAGACTTTTAAAATATCACTTTATTATTCAAATTTATATTCTGTTTTCGATTCTGACATCGTTACAACCCCATACCTCCACCATCCTCTTTCTTGACCATCACTCACCAAAACCCCTTAAACCCTACTCCCTTCGACCTTGCCAATTGTTGGCAATCGAGTGATTAGGGTTTGTGTAACCATCTCTCCCAAGTCAAATTTCGATCAATTTCAACCACTAAAATCCAACATTCTATTATCAAAAGACTCATTGGCCTCTCCTTTTTAAAAGGCCTAACAACATAGACTGAGTTTGCTTTTTGTTCGTTACTGGAATATAAATTTAGATAGTAAAATAGTATTTTAAAAGTCTGTAAGTAAAAAAGTGTCACTACGCCATTATTTGGGTGAAAAAAAGTCGTTAACTCCTAATAAAATAAGTCACCAAAACATTTCTAAATAACCCTCCTAAATGGCTAAAATCTTACCTATATATTGATACTTCTAAGTAATTCAACTTGTTTTAATAATGTGAAGATATTAATCTCCCATTTTTTTTTTAACTTTTCAAACTCTATCCTATCCAATCCAGTAAAATACATATTTGTTTTAATATTGACTATTCAATTTAAAATCCAATGCTATTCTATTCGTCTCAAAACATTTAACAATTACCTTTCTCAATAAAAGTTTATAAATTTGTAAAAACACTCCCACCCACCTAACCAACTATTACCGGCAGTTGGCCACCACCTCCAGACGGTGGCTGAAAGTCGTCGAAATGACGCACAACCGGCTGGATCTAGCCAGTCGTGTGTTTATCTGGCTAGTCGTGTATCGATCTAACCGTTTCCAATCAAATCTACATCGTTCGATGGTGGTGGTCAGCCACTGACAATAGTTAGGTGGGTGGGGGTATTTTTGTTATTTTATAAACTTGAATTGTGAGAAATGTTTAGTTAAATTAACAAGTGTAGGAGGTTAATAGATAATAAGATAATATAAATATTTTCAGAAAATATTTTCTATAAATGTATCAAACACATTCTAAGAATCCTAACCTATTTGATTAAGTCATATTCAGAATATAATACTATTCTAAAAACTTAAACAAACGGAGCATATTCTTTATATGTTATATCAATTTAGGATTTTTATTATTTAATTTCTTCGAATAATTGAATTTGTAAATAGCACCTGAATCATCAAAACCGGGCACGTATGCACAGTAATGGCCAAATGGGCTCAAATGTACGAAACATATTGGGCTTAGATAGTGGGAATAGGCCTAAATATTGATGTTTTTTGGGTTCAATGTTACCAAGAGAGAATAATTGGGCTCAGACACTGAGGCTTGTGGGCTTAAGTATTTACATATTGGGCTCATATATTGGGGATAGGCTCTTTTACGTTCAGTATAATCTGTGCCAAGCCATCAGAGAGACTGAATTAAGGAGTTTTTCAAGAATCGAAATGGAATTCTGAAGATTAGTCTGAGCTGTTATGTGCTAAATTCGATGTTTTCCGATTTTCGCTTACTGTTTCTTGGAAGGGCTAGTTTGAAGATCATTATTTTGATTAAACGCCTAAAAGGGCGGCGGTTTAATTTTGTTCATTTGATAATATCATCTGTTTGATAAAATGCCTCATAGAGAGTGATTAATTTATAAGGAAACAAGACTTGAAACAAAGTATTCAAATTTCTAATTTCTAGAAACCTTGGAATTGGTATACAAGTGTATTGTCTAGATGATGGTGGTTTATTTTTACATGAATGCCTCAGGAGAACTTGAAATAACAGTCGTTTCTATCTCGCTATTTCTTAATGCACTATATGCCGAAAGAGAACTTTACAACATTTGTCAAGTGGGTTCTGATTCATCGTGACGGATTTGATGTCAAAAGCTTTCGTTCACTAACTCTTCTCCAGTTGTGGGAGTTCAAAATAAATTTGACTGGTAAAAGAAACTTCTTGGTGATTGAGATTTCAACCAATAATAATGTAGTTTTATGTCTCTACTACCTCTCTCCCCTCTAAATGATAAAAACCAGCCTTCTTTTAGTTGCTTTACATAACCAGAAATTACTATGTTTTTAACGTCAATTTTTGTTCCTTGTATAAGTTATTCCATTTGATCGCATATCATATAATATAAACTCGCTTATTTTGAAAAATGAAAAAAACAAAAATTATGGTCAAGGTCTTGTATATAATTAAGAAAAGAATCTGGTGTGCACTGATATTTGTAATTTTTATTTTCTGAACAGGTGCTGGGAAAGTGAATATCAATTATTTGTATTAAAAAAGGAGGATGAAGAATTCTGAAGAGGTGAGTGTTAGATTTTCTTAGAGCTTCTCAAAATGTTCCTATCTTGTACCTAATGTGCGCTATGAGAAGTACTTCTGGTTTGATTAGGAATCTGAAAGCGATGGATGAACAACTTTAAGATGATCAACTGGGAAAAGGCGGTGTTAGACAATATGCTAAACCTTTTTCAAATGTTAGGTTGACTAAGATTTATGCCTTGTCCTCAACCCGTGATTTTCATTATCTTTGTAAGTTTCATTCAGTGGAGCTCAGGACTTGTGCAGGAGGCAATTGCAATTGTTTGCATTCATAGCACAAATCTATACTGGTATGTAATGCCTAATAGAACTTTGGTTTGCTTTTGTTGTCTTTATTTTGTTGCTGTTTACTGTTACATTAGAGTTTCATAGAAAGATTGATACATCACAGAAAATTGTAAGTAGGGCCTTAATTAGCCCCATATTTGAACCTTTCAGCACAAAGCTCTTTGAAAAATTACCATCGCTTGTGGTGGATTGCACTAGTGTAGAAATGATCGAAGTATGATTGTCCAATTAAGGAAGTCTAGCTTTTAGAGGGAAGTGGATTTGGCAGTTGGCACATTTAGGAATGAAAAATATTAAAGAGATAGTCATCACATAGAATAAAAGTTGAGTTCATGTGGAAGGATTGACTAAATGGACAAGGTTTATTGGTTCCAATTCATCAAGACTTAAGAGGATCAGGTTGGCAGTATATATATATATATATATATATATTCTAAAAGATGCAATTCTTCTTCAGCCATGTAAATGAGATGAGTGTGGGGTTTCTCTTTAATTAATAAGAATAATGTTATATCTGTGGGGTTTTTCATTCATGGGTCTTAAATCTGATATACTTTTCTCTCTGTTACAGTATTCAAAATGATGATATCAAATGAGATTTGACTTCTAGGAATTATAAATAAGTAAATAGATTTGTTTAATTTTCTTGATTAGA